GAGGGTCCCCGATCGACAACTGTGTACAAAGCATATGGGTTGTTGTCTAAAAAAGTTTAAGTACAAACAAAAGAGGAACAATAGGGGGTCCCCCGTTGCAGGCAAACACAAAAATTTTGAATAATAGTTCATTTCTAATGAGTACAAAGTACAAACAAAAGAGGAACAATAGGGGGTCCCCCGTTGCAGGCAAACACACTTGCCGTGTGTGTACATACACGTGTGACGTAGCCTAATCCGTGTCCAAAACGGGCTTCCAGAGCTAAGGCTAGGTCTATTGTCTGCGCGTATCCACGTACTTTCAACGGAGTGAAGACCTAGACCTAGCTCTAGACAACAGATTCGGACGCAGCCTCAGGCTCAGTCATGGAGCCTTCATTCCTGTCATCGCGGTAACTCTATTGTGGTATCAGAAATCCTGAATTTTGCATTGCCAGTGAGTTCCCAATTGCAATATGCTCCCAGTTAATCAATACGTACGGCCTTTGGATAAGTTTAAATTAAAACAGAGAGAAACAATTCTGCATAATTCCGTAAGTTTGGACAGTTTTTAATGAAAGATGTAATTTTTTCTGAAATCTGTAAATTCTCTTGACCATGCCCCTCATTACCTACTGTACTGTTTATCTCTTTAACAATGATTTCTAACGTCACCCTGCACTCGGATATCTTTTGCTGGGTTCCCACGTCAATTTTGAAATGGCCAAAGGTGTCTAAAAGCACATTTTAACTGCGAAAATACCCAGTTTTTCGGAGTCAAAATAAGGGCTCCTGCACTGAATAACGTTTTGCATGTGTAAAGTGCGCCCCCAATCTCCATTACAATAGAAAAACTTAAGTATAATCGTACTTTTACCCTCCGTGCTCGGGACAATTAGTGAATAATTACATAGGCGTTATTGTCGCAGTTTTTTGCTTTTAGTAAGGGCTGGTGACCATTTAGACCCGGTTTGAAAAGGCCCCTCCCCCCCCTGTAAGCTTGCCCTGTTGCAAAAACCCTTTTCATACCGGCCTGGCTACCGGCCTGGGATGCTGGACTGGTTGTTGATCTGGAACTTCTCCATTCTGGGATCTATTGTTTGCAAGTACTGGTACATGTAAATCTATCCCAGAAGGAACATGCTTGTGGTTTTTAATCTTCAGCTCTATACTAATCCGCTTAGACCCCTGTTCATCTGTGGAAGCATGGTGGGGGAAGCCTTTCATCAGGGACTTTGAAATGCCGATGGGCAGACAGGCCTGATACTGGCCTGGAGCAACCTGAATACCTGGCAGGCATTATACAGGGTGGGCTACGGGGGGGGGCCTTTTCAAATCGGGTCTAAATGGTCGCCGGCCCTAATACAAGTTGAATTTACAATGGCATTTAGATTGTTTACAAAAATTTTGAATAATAGTTCATTTCTAATGAGATGGTTATAACTCTAGGAGAATGAGAACTCAGAAAGAAGTCATTTTAAACAGTTGTTTCACACATCGATGAAAGAATGAGTTCACCAAAAAAAGAAATTTGCGATACCACATATCTATTATTCCTTCGTTAAAACACCAATTTACATGTAACTAGATGAATGTCAAAGATTGGAGTAAACAAGTTATGATGCAAAGAAAATGAGGTCTTTCCTTTCTGGATTAAAAAGTGCAAGGTGACGCAGTGCAATTATTCCTATCTTGTTCTCGTGGCATTTGGCATTTTTAAGGAGGAGACTGACAGAACGGAGTCAATTACAAGAAAAACGGAGCAGTATCACAAAATGAGGCTATTTTGTTTCCTCTAAAAACAAGATCATTCTTTTTATCTTTATTTATTCATAAACAAAGTGCATTAAAGGCCACCGTAGAAGCTACATGTGTTTCTCGATACCGCAATAGTAGTACCTCTGCTTGCATACAGTGCCCACACAGATTTTTTTAAGTTATCGTTTTCAGCCTCATTCATTCAGGCTAGCTCTGCTGAGTATTCCTCTTTATCAAATTTTGTGGTCCAATACAAAATATAAAAAAGGAATACCAATGCTCCACTCAGCAGAGCTACATTTAGGCCTTTTTTTTAACTAGGCCTAGGCCCACCCCTAAAACTGTGGGGCCCTAATTTTACATCCTTCCCACTCCCACAGCGGGGCGGACATCGTACCCCACAGTTCTGGGGGTAATTGTTCATAGGGCCTAAGTTCAAACTTAACTTTTTACTTACTACTTATGCTAATGATTGAGTGCCATCATGCAATTGATGTCTTACAGACAGGTGCTGGCAAGTGAAAACATCATGGATGATATGAATGAACTCCTTGTAGACTTGGACTTGTCGGATGTCATGTTGGAATCGCCGGAAGCATCTATAAATTTCACACCATTTATAAACCAGGACCTTGGTAAGACTGATATTAATAATAAAGTCTTTGACAAAGAGTTTATGTCCAGTGCATGGATGCTACTTGACACCGTGTGCATAAACCCTATGAGACTCGTCGGACGAATTCTAAGTGTCTTCTAAGGAAATCACATTTTTCCCTCAAAAATAGAACTTTTCTGGACATGTTTTTGCACTCTGATAACAAACACATGTACCAAGTCACTGTAGGGAAGAACATGGCGTAAAGATCTCACTTTCTGACTTGCATTAGGGTAAGCTGAATGTAGTTTTGTTTTACTTGCAAAAGATTCTGCCTCTTTCAACCACTGTGTGTTCCTCTATCTTTCAAGATAAAAGTTATTCCTGTTTTGAAATCCTTTACAGGTGATGAACAACCTTTATCCCATGAACAATGGGCTGGTTTGCTTGTCCACGCGCACGAACAAGGTTAGTTTTTCTGTTAATATATTCATAATTAATGGTTTTAAAGGCTTTTCTCAACTTGTTTTTTATTTTTGAGTTTTTGACTGTCATGTTGTGCATGACTATGACCTTACAATTAGCTGTCATGCAGAACACCTAACAAACATCCTCAAGGAGTCCTTATGACGCAGTAGTAATTTTCTGGCTTTCAGCCTCTGAAACTCGGGCTCGAATTCCACCCAGGATATGGATTGGGTTCTCAGATCCTACCCAATTCTGTGGGTTTTCCTCCCACCCCTAAAACTTAAGGGAAGAACAGTTTATAACATACGGTTTGACCCCGGTTTATTAAAGAATAAATAAATATTGGCAATGGAGCTGATATAATTTGATGAAATGAATGCAGCATTCTTTACCACTGAAGCAAAATGAATGTAATTTCTATCAAGGTATGAAGTTGTTTTCATTTTACTTACAAAAGAATATGCCGACAAAATACAGAACAAAAGCCCAGAACATTGATTACTGTGTGCATTGACAGTGAATGGCCCCAGTGTAGCAGTCCTTGATGTACAGCAGACAGAGATTCAAGTGCACAGATCACTCCCACTGGAGGACAGGTAAGGAACAGACATGCAATCCGCTCCCCCCGAAGCTAGAAATTGCAAAGTGAAACTCTGGACTTTGCGTATGCCTGTAACACCCCATAATGTAAGTCTTTGGGAGAAAGACAATCAAAGAGATTTGGTTAGTAAATTGTTTAGTGTGGTAAGCGCAGGTCAGTTGGTCATTCAGTTTTGTAAGTATCACGTACACGTATCTCTCACCAGGTACAAAGAGGCTACTGAGGGTGAAGGAAAAGCACTAGCTCACCAAACCCCCGAAGAGCACAAGGTAAGTGCAGCCTATCTTCATCTTCCACCGATCAAAAGAGTTTTTGACTGGCTGCCGTCATAAACTCAAAGTGGGGAGAATACTTGAGGGTTCACTTTAAATATTTTAGTATGCTGTGCACCAGTTGATCTCCTATGACCACCTTGACAAACCCAAAGTGAAGAAAAGACTTGATTTGGGGTGCTGAAGATATTCAGAAAATATCCAAACAAATTGTTGTGTTAGTGCCGTGCCAGATCTGTCACTGGTACCTAAAACAATGTATGTCACAACTCTGTTGAGGGCCACAATTCTAATTTTTGGTCTAGTTTTCAAAGTAATGAAATGTACCTTCAGGAGAGATCATTTACGGGTATTTACATTCACTTGTAAATGGTACAACTTATTATAAATTAATGTTTGTGATAGTTGAATACTAAGATTACATGTATACTCGCTGGTTCATGTCCATCTAATATTCATATAATCCGCCTCGAGCAGAAATACCCCTTCGTCTGTTGAAAAGAGTCATGTTCGTCAGGAGTGTTCATTTTGTTATTAGGGATGTGACCATGACATTTCCTAGTCGTTAGTGAACCAACCAAGTTTAGTTCTGAGCCTCCATTGCTAAAAAAAATAGTGCCCTCTCTTGATAAGATCCAGCTCAAGGCTCATGAGCTGATGTTGTCTCAATCACTTGTAGATATTGCAATGTCTACGTTGTAGCAAATGCCATGAAATGCCCAAGGGTAACCTAGTGTACATCACTGCCAAGAAGGTCGAGAATGCCAGGTATCAACTAGAGGGTCAAGCTCACTTCTGCTCTGAGGAATGTGCTTTGCTGGGGATGCATTCAGATGAGAACGTCGTCAAACTTTGTCTCTTACAGGTATGGCATTGAAGGCTTACGGCTGAATAGGTGGGCGTTGAGGTGGGGGTTTTTGCTCTTGAAAATGAAATGCAAAAAAATTATTACCTTACACTTAAAAATTGTGTGATGTAAAATGTGAATCGTAACTTGATATTACATATTTTTATTCATCTCAGGAGGGCTGTCCAAAACCTTGCTGCGTTTGCCTTGATGAAGATTGTATCTGGATGCCACTGACGTCATGCTCTCGCTGCGGCCATTACATCTGTGCACCCTGCTGTGTCATTTACACCCGTCAGCAGGATTGGCGCTGTGTGGTGCGTTGTGAAAGAACAACCCGCCACACGCTGATGCTTCCAGAATCCCTCATCGGACCCAAGATGAAGATGAAGGTTGGAACAAACACTTCACAATTCAATGATGAAACTGTGCCACATCTTTGTTTACAATGTGCTCCTTGTTTTACTGAGTGCTCCTCAAGTAAACTTGATAGGTTTGCAGTAGCACCATGGATATTTCTTTTGTATGTGGGGTTCTGAAAAGAATCTTCTTGGAAATTTGCTATCACATTCTACATTTCTGTGGTTTCACAAGAAAATTGTTATCTTACTGAAAAATATTGAGAAGATACTTCATAACGATTCCATTACACTTGTTTTCTGATAGGTCCACACTTTTGATGATACTGTTTGTGTGGAGAGCGAAAGCAGTGATGTAAGTTTTGGCAATTTGAAGATTTCTTCTTATGCTGCTGTAACATGAAAGTTTTATTCTGAGACCATGTGACTGTTTATGCTGTGCAAGCATGGAATAGTCCCTTGAACATGTTAAAAGGCTAAACGAATGACTAAACAATTCAAGTACATGTAAAGCAGGCAGATTAGTTGGACTATCGCAATGGTATTTACTTTTGTTTAATCGATAACAATTACATAGGAGTTGCCTCTGGAACTGGAAGGTGATATCTGGCCAGGGTTTGATGAAATTCCCCTTACACCTCCTCCGTCGGTAAGAAATATATTTCCGGTTTTAAAAAGCCCAAATGACGTATCTAAAAGCCACAGAATTATAAATAGACACAAAAGATAATTACTTCACACTTTGTAATACAGTTGCACTCTTGTTGGAGATCATTGGATTGCGTCCCATCTTACAGTCCTAGGAAAATGTAGGTGTAAACAAAAGTGATGTCATTATGTTACAGGACTCTTATAATTTAGTTCCTGTACAACTTGATATTGAAGTTCTTAGAGGTAATATATGCAGTGCTCAAATGATCCCATCTGAATCCCTGATGCATCATCTTTCCTCAGAGCTCTGAATGTACAACCAGGAATCACATTAATGTTTGCAATTTGCTTTGATAGGCTGAGGAACAGTTCAGACAGCACAGACAGAACGAGTTGGAGAGGGAAAATCAGATGTTGGAATTCCACAACTCTCTCACGGACCTCTCCTATGAGAACACTGGGATAAGTGGACCAGGAAACATGGTGTGTAGAAATTTCATTTTATTCTCCTACATTTTTACAAATTTTGCTCCTATGCATTGAATTTTCTCTGCTTGAGTTGCAGTAAAAATACAGTGAAAATGTAATCATTAACCGAAGCCGTGGGTACCACTGAAATTCGCAGAATAAATTCATAATGGAATGAACACACACACAATAGGAGTCTGAAACACGTCGTAACAGTTACCAAGAGAATTAAACATTTTTTGCTGGACACAAAGTGAATAAGATAATACAAAAGTAACCGTGCCATTCACTGAGTTATATAAAGTAGATTCGTAAGTTATCTGAGAGTTTCTTCTTTTTCCGTTTATAGAATGAAGACTCCACCCTGGAAGAGTTTTTGGGTGACCGTGAGCATGTAAGATTGTTGTATCTTTTGCAGTTAGATTTGTTAATATATTCCAATTCTGAAGAAATGCATTGCTGTAGACCTCTTCAAAACATTCAAACATACCCCTGTGGAAGATTTTAGTCTACATAGGAAAGCTTAAAGCCATTAAAATGCGGTCAACAAATGACCCAGCCAAATTTGAAGTACAGTAGTTATAAACAGATGATGTGTCATGTGAGTTGCAGGTGGAAAGATGTTGGTCTTGTCTTTTAACAGGAAACGGCAACACCAACAAACCCTGCAGATGAAACCAGCCTGATGGTGGAAGAAAGTCATGATAGTGACGATGACTCTTTTGAAGAGTCCCAAGGTGAAGAAGAAGAAGACATTAGTGTGCAGATGGAAGGTCCTGGCAACAAGGATCGCATCACTGCTCACGATGAAGGATATGATGCAGATGATGAAGGAAGCTGTAGTTAAGTTCTTCACCTGTACTATACAGTACTGATAACTCTGTAAAGGGACATTTGGGGTTTATCACTTCCAAGTGCAGGGTCGGAGTTCACATCCTTTAATGGGAATATATTGTGTCCTTAGGCAAGTCACTTTACCTTCGCTTGCCCTTCCCACCGAGGAGTACTAAATGGGTACCTATGAGGGCAGAGAGGTTTATTTGTGGTTGATCAACCTGATGGCCCCTGAAAGGGGTCTTCGTGTAAGGAAACTGTATACATGAACACATGTATGTCATGTTGTTAGAAAATAGGAGGCACATACTTGCATCGTGAATGTCATATCAAAGCTGCTTAAAAGAATGAGCCTCTTTGTTTGTATTTATATATATATATATATCTCTTGAATATGCAAATTGAAATAAATGTTGTTGCCAAGCAACTACCGTTTTATTTTGAAACATGAATTATGAATGACAAATCAATAGGCCTGTATTTTGGAGGATTTGAATGCCAAGTTTGCATTTATACATTTTAAACATTCATTTTTTTATGGCAGAAATGCCTAGATTTCCCAACGTTGGGGTTTTATCCTAAATGTGCTATTTTTATGGGGGAGGGGGGAATACATATATCTGCGATCATGTTTGCTCTACTAAAATTGTTTTGTGTAATCAGTGACCAGGTTTAATGCAGACTTACCATTTCCGTGTTGAGAACTACATTCCATTATTAAAGATGACTTCAAGTTTTTCCCTAGCCAAACAAGTTTTCAAGATAAAGGCTCCTTGGTTTCAATTTCGTTTCGATGCTAATTTTGTAATGTCATTTGGATCTGTCCAATATGCTTATTGTACATATGTGTGTAGGCCACTTTTTTGCATCTTCATCTTGCTTTTGGATTAAAAGGGAAATGATGCAATTTAGAAACTGTGTTGGAACCTTATTACGGCTTTTTTCTTCCCACAGGTACGGTCACCTGTAGTAATCAAGGTCGTTGTATACGTCTACATACTGTGTACATTGACACATAGATATACAATCTAGATTTATATCCGCTACCGGTGTACATTTACTCGTATGTACGTGTAATGTATAAGCGAGGAACAGCAAACGGGGACATGGATTCGTAGCCTTTTCGAAAGAGGCAGCTCTTTATAATATACTTAGTGCATAAGCCCAGTTGACGTTGATACTGATGAGGACAGCAAATCGAAGATAGTATTTCCCATCAAGCTGTTAGAGCAAAGGAAACACATCAATCTTGCCAGGTGGAATCCGAAGGTGAAATTCAAAGAACTAGTCCTACCCGCCAGGATCCCCTATTCCTCAGTATTCTGGGCATGCATTGTATGTAATGCCTGTGCATGCGCCTACCATGAAAGAGAGGGCGCTATACATGTAACCAAGTGGGATTAGATAGAGACAGGTTAGGAAACACAATTACAGAAAGGGATTTCATTATAAAACGGATTCCAACAAAATACACAATTTGTGTGGATACAAGAATAATCAAGTTTTGACACGGCTTTGTAAAGATCAATATCAGGGTATGACAGTAGCAATAACCTGCGAGCATAAAAAATATGATGCAACAATTAACACTGAATTTATACCCATACGCGTAAATAAAATGTCATATTAACAGACTGGGAACAGATTTTAATGAGACTTCAATCATTATGAAGCAACTAAAAGTTATTTCTCCTATATGAGACCTAAGATATTACCATTTTAACCCTAATAGTCCCAAATCCTCCGATTTCAATATTTTATATACACCCTAGGGGGTAGGGTTAATTTCTAATGTAACGCCGTTTCCTACATGTAACTTGTCTTCATCTAATCCCACTTGCATTTGTTCAATCTACCAGAAGAGAGAGGACGCTATACTTACGGGTAAATCCACAGCGCATAGTCTAGTTGTGACCTGAGTGTCTCCATCGTTGGAACCAAGATGGTGGATATGTGTCGGTGCACGAGGAAAATTAGTGCGCAGTAGCTGCATAATTGTGACCTCGTGATAAGAAGAATGAAATGAAAAAAACTCAACAGGTGGAAAGGCTTGCGGTAGCACCATGCGTAGAAATATATCTCTTATGAGTGTATATGGTTCTGAAAAGAACCGAGAGTCTAGGTATAGGAGACCCGATAGCGTTCTTGAGTCTTGACTTGGCGCCGATGGTATTTATTGAGCTGGAGTGCCGTTGAGATGTGCTGGAGTTCATCTTGTAAGTGTTCTTGATCGCAGATCTTGTGTGCTCGTTGGATCAGGGTGCGGGTGACTGAAGATTTTACGGATTTTACGCTGGGATGATGGAAACACGAGTTTTGCAGGTACCGGTCTGTGTGGGTGGGCTTACGGTAGACGGAGTGCCCGAGGGAACCATCTGCACGCTGGTGGACCTTGACGTCAAGAAAGGAGAAAGAATTCCGCTCCTCCTAGGCCTGTTCCATCGTGGACTTTATGCTGGGGTGTAGGTCGTTCAAATGGTCCAGGAATGACTGGAGGTGTTGGGGTCCATGCGGCCAGATGATGAAGGTATCGTCTACGTAGCGAAACCATGCAAGTATACCCGGACGATGATCTGCAGAGAGTAGTGCCGTAGTCTCAAATTCCTTCATGAACTAGTCGGCTAGGACCGGGGATAAAGGAGATCTCACGGAGGTCCCAGTCGACTGCTCGAAGAACTTGTCTCTCCATCTGAAGCTGGACGACGAGACGCAAGTAAGCAGCAGGTCATGGATTTGGTCGGGAGAGAGGGCTGTGCGCTCACACAGAGTGGGATCATTTGCCGAGCTTTCGGTAACTGAATACCTTCTTCAGGGCAAGCAGATTCAGTTCTGAGTGAACGCGGAAAAATCCACGTTCATTCCCTCGGGATGCAGCTTTCCAAGTTCGAAAATGACGCTGCAAAGCTCGGCAATCATATATTTCAGAGCACTGATTTAATCTTAAATTCTTGTCGATATTCTGATCACAGTGCTACGCAGCCCTTCCATATTTTTCTGATCTATTCTTTGCTGCGAATTTGTCGATCACCCGGTGGATATGGTCAATCCAAGGTTCACCTTCGCCGGCGATTGTTAGACAGCTTGCCCACTTCATCACCCGCAGCTGTGGAGACTTCGCTGGAACTTGCCATGGCTACATTTACCAAGACACACTTCTGTAGTCACGCAAGTTTCATTAAGTCTTGCCTCCATCACAAGATTATCCCCAATGGGTTTGAGGTGAAATTCCAGCCTTCTGATCTCAACCCAGATGAGAGT